GAAATAAAACTAAACTATAATGAAAAATCCAAAACTATTATAACCTTGCTTCCCACTGATTCTGTGCTCATCATTCCTCCTCTGTAGCCTGATCACTGCCTGCTGAACTTCAGCCACTTTAATCATTCCCTTTAATAGCATATAGACAGCTTCGATACATTTTTTTGCATGACTTAGATCATATTTAAGTCTCTTGCTGTGAGAACGTGGCCTCTGCCTGCCTCAGCAGCAGTGATGTACTGCCTTTTATATCACGCTCACTGGGAATCTGTGACTGCAATCATTCCCATGTTTAGACAACTGTTTTTTTAGGAAATCCACCAGTATTACCAGGTAACATCCGCATTAATCTGGGTTTGTGCTTTTGTTGCTTATTGCAGGAGAAGAGTGTCACTGTGTGTTTTATTCTTCTTTATTAGGATTCAGAATCAATTACCTGTGAGATCCCGTGATTTAAAAGAAATCGTTTCTTCTCAGTCAGCCACAGACGTCTCAGAAAATCATGACAGATGTCAATTCATCTTGCAGCTTTCTTGGAAAGTGCTTACTTCTTTCCAACACACAGGAAGTTACTATTTCCTCACATCCTGTAGCTTTACCTTTTCTTTTCGTTTTTGGCTCACTGAATACGTGCCCAAAGCAGAATAACTGCGTTTAGTCATTGTTGCTGTTTCAGCTCTGACAGTTTCTGGAATGAGGGAAAAGAGTGAGACGTGCTCTAAATAATAGAAGGAAATGAAGACTGCAGGGTGTCCTCGCAAACAGACGTGTGAGGTGACCATCTCCTCTCCCCATTATTCCCGAAATACTAAACAAGTCAGCGCTCACTCCCCCGCATCGCTTCGTGTGGATCTTTTCAGGGTTGTGATGACAAGTAGCTCCTAAATACAATTCTCCAACTGTTTGTTTTTGACCTTCAGAGCCGTCGAGTTGCTTCTTATCTTCTCTGTTTGCTCTTACCAGATAAAAGCAGAGGTTTGCTAGTGACAGTTATGGCTTGAATAAAGCTAATATTTGTCCCTGCCTTCATCTGAGGTGGAAACGCATAATAAGGCTTCCCTCTTTTGCTGGTTTCCTAAACAGTCACTTTTTTTTTTGAGGGGGGGTCTGTTCATTTCCACTTGTTGTTCTAATGGACTGTGGTCCATGAACTCTTCTGACCTGCAGCGCTGTTGTTGATGCTGATAAACAAAGTTTTGGGGTTATTCCAGTAAGCTGGAACATTTTTACCACAGCCCCAAGTAAGTGCAAGGAAAAAAAAAACACACCACCAGCGACGAGAAAAATCAAACAGAAACTATGCCGCTCGGTCGACGGGGGGTCCGGCTTTCATGTGTTTTGCATTTTCTCCCCTCTGTACATTCTTGCGTGTATGTTTTGAAGAATGGCAGTAACAGAGGCCCCCCCTCCCACCGCCTGCCATCGCAGACCACTATCACAAAGAGCAGCATTCCTTCTGCCTGTGTCTCCCATGAAACGGAACAGCTCTGATTGTAAATTGCACAGCTTTAGGAAACTCAGATAGGCGCTAATATTGCTGCGAGCACAAAGCGAGTGTGTTGAGATGCAGATACTTGGCAGGTCACGCTGAGGGTTAGGAGCTCCGGCGGCGGGTCACAGTTGGGGGCTGCTGTTTGTGCAGGCTATTAAATCAAGTTTCCTCTGGCCATTCATGTCCACGGGGTTCAACAAATAAATCCCAACACAGCTTACCAGAGATAAGAGCTCATTTCCTGTGGGTGCAGTTCTTTTGGGTCTAACTTACTTATTTTTCTCCCTTTTCTCCCCTTCTTATCAGTCTGATGTGATCTCTGTAGTTAAGTTTGGGCCTCTAAGCTCTTTTGCTTTAAAAATTATGGGTCCTAGAAATTTTTATGGTATGTCTGTGGGCTATCCAGACCATGTTCATTCAATTTAATGCACAAAATAATTCTCAGATAATAAAATTTCCCATTTTCTAGTTCTACCTGCTCTGACTTCCGTTAGGCTTCTGTTCAGAAGAGCTGTTTATGTTAATGAGCTCTGTTGGTAACGCCCTCCAAAAATCTGTTGACATTAACTCCGCCCTCCAAAGCCAGCGTTTACGTTAGCATGGCTAATAATAGCAGAAGCTCCGTTGTACAACTGTATACCCTGAGTCAGACCCAGAGGCAGAGTCATGGTCGCAGCTTTTTTTTTTCTCCTCCTCCTCTGCTCTGCGCTCACTCTGCATGCTGTTACCAGAGCAGGGAGCAGCAGCGGTCAAAATACCTCAGAAACTCAAACAAATAGGCTTTAACAAGGCTTTAATAAGCTAAACAATAGAGGTACATGAGAAAACATGTTCATAATGATAGAAAATAAATAATTAAATTGTGTGTGTCTGTCTTGAACCCTGGTCTCCCACTCTCTGGTCCAACACTCTACTCATTGCCCTATTGGAGGCTTGTTGTGAAATGAGCTGCGCATTACATAACAACAACCATGATGGCTTTTTATACTGAGGAGGTGGGGTTTCACCCGGGTGAGGGGCTGAACGCAGGTTCCGTACGGCTTGTGACATCACAAAATGACGGAAGTATAAAACTTGTCGTTAATATACATTAAAAA